GCGGTATTACAGTATAACTTTTCTGTGATACAGTGATTTAAATAATTTTTCTATGGCCAAATTACACTACCCTGTTTAGGTGGTGCACACATTTCATTTTAGCATTTTTGTGGCTATTATGTTCTCGATGACTATTGACAAATAAACAATGACAAATTAACAAAAACGGTAGTTAATTAATTTCAAACACTGTAATTCTCTTAAAACTTAAGTGAATCATAAGACCAAATGTGGATGTCTCTAAATAAAAAAATATTAAAAACACACTCTCTCTTCTTTTTACTCAATTTTATACTTTCTCTTTTATCCTTTTACTCAATTTTTATTAATTTTATATTTAAACACATTCCAATTTTCATTCATTCTCTCTCCAATTTTGTCTTCCTCGAGACATTCTCTCTCCAATAATATTCACTATCTCATCTTTTTACTCAAATTTTATTAATTTTATATTTCAATACACCTCGTTATTTCAACCAAAAACATTCTCTTTCTTTCTTTTATTCAACTTTTAATAATTTTATATTTAAAGACACATACAAAATGTCTCTAATGCTGATGCTATAAGATTGAGTTAAATGAAAAATAAGCAAGCGTTGCCAAGGCCCACTCCTACCTAAATATTTTTGATACTGTTGAATGAAAACACTAGCTCTTACTAGATACTATCCTCGTTTAGCAGCAAAAAAATCTGGCGCTTTTTTGAGATCATTCTTTTCTCAAATAATGTATCGACATTTTATGTTTTTCTCTTGTGTTTCTTCTATCGCTATCTTTTACTCGACCTAAAATACACTTTTGTTTTTGTTTAGTCGATTGTGCATTCTACTCAAGGCTCTGTTTTGATTTACTCTACTCAAGATAGCTTTGGTCCGACTGACTCTACTCTCCACCGGGTCGAATTCGGACTCCTCCGCATTTCATCCAAATTATCACCAAATCCATAAGTAACCTTTCTTCTTCTTCATTTCTTCATCCTCCAGTTTGTTCTTCCCCTTCCATCATCCTCCAGAACTGATACTCTTCTCTTGATGTCTTGTTTCTCTTCTTCTTCATCCTCCAGAGCTGATATTCTTCTCTTGATGTCTTGTTTCTCCTCCTCTTCTTTCTCTTTCAATTTACTTTCCAAAGAGACAAGATCTTTCCTCAGCAATTTAATAGACGAACGGTTTGAGGAAATTTTTGTTAATCCTCTAAATATGCTCTGGGATATATTTTATTTTAGTATGTAATCTTCGGATATGTATTTAAGTTGATTTGCACACTCTCCTAGTTTATCAGACATTGAAACCTCGAATATTGCGAATCTATTTCAATGGTTTTTAAGTTAATAATTTGCTTGATCTTAAAGATTTTTTTTTTTTATATTTTCCTCCTTTATCAGTAGTTTGTATTAATTATATGCGAATAAGAACTCGTTAGTTCAAATTTTAACTCTTGTAGCTCTGTGACCACATTTTTAATTCTCATAAATACCCACCCCACTCTATGAACCAAAAATCTCAAAGTTGACACACCATCGTTTGTTACCTCAGGAAACGATAAACAAAAATTTGAACCAAACGATAAACTGTTGTCCTTTTTTTTTTTCTTTGTCAACACGTAGTTTTTCTCTCAACGTATATTTCTAATTGAGTACGTAATCACATCTGATTTAAAATTGGATACAAAAAAATCATTATAAAGATGATCTTAAGATACATGCATATGCATATTAGTCCCAACCAGGGGCGGAGGGAGGTTATACAAGGAGGGGGCAGTTGNCCCCCATGACTTTGTACAAATTAGTGTAATATCTAAAGAGTTTTGGTTATGTCCCCATTGATAATTTATATTTTGCCCCCATCTTTTTATTATTTGGNTCAAATGTTTAAAAAAAACNAAAAATAATTAGTCTAAAATCTAAATGTTCAACAAATAAATTACATGAAAACTCATATATCAAGTAACTAAACATTATAAACNACGACTAATAACTGTTAATTTTGTAACTATTTTTTCGTTCTATATTATTTAGATGATATTGTATATTTTTTACGTTTGGTATACATTTGCCCCCAATGAATTTTTCTTCTGGATCCGCCACTGGTTCCAACTCTACAAATTTCATGTTTACCAAGTTTCTTAACATTAAAAAAATAACAAAAATGAAAGAAGAAGGAGAGAGAACTAAGGATCAATCCTTAAAATCTTTAAACAAGATACTTTCTCAAATCTGTAAGAAACTTTTGTGCTAAGTAGATAGTTACGATTGGTTCAACTTT